GACTTTTCTTCCTGGTAATTGTCTTTTGTACGATCTAAAGTAAAAAAGGACGATTAGGAGTGGTCGAGAGGTGAACAAAATCTACCTTCTAGATGAACTTCCGAGACATTAGAGCCACCATTCTAGTAGCAACAATAGTGGGTTAGAGTCAGTGAGTCAGATTATGCTCTGGCATAATCGTTTAGGTCATCTTTCTTTCAGTTCTTTGAGATGTTTGTTTCCAAATTGTTTGAATCTGTTCAGTCATCTAGTCTAGAGTGTGAGAGTTGTTTAGCTAGGAAAGCATTAGAGACATTCTTTTAAACCAAGTAATAAAAGTTTTTCTGCTTTTGATATTGTTCAAACTGATGTATGGGGACCTTATCATATTTCTTCCATGGGTGGTTGCCAGTACTTTCTTTTGTTTGTAGATGATTACACTTGGTATTCTTGGATACATTTGATGAGATCTCATGATGTGATACCCATTTTGGTACGATAGTTCTACTAGATGGTTCTCATACAGTTTGGAGTGAGGATTGAGATTTTCAGATCAAACAATGCTAGAAAATATTTTAAGAAGGATTTGGCTATGTATTTTTTGGAGATTGGGGTGATTCATCAAAGTAATTGTGCTTATACACCACAACCGAATGGAGTAGTAGAGAGAAAAAATAAACACATTGTGGAGGTGAAAAGAAGTCTTATGGTGCATGCTTCAATTCATGTTCATTTTTGGGGAGATGTAGTTCTCATAGCTATGTATTTGATCAACCATGTTCCTTCACACATCCTAGGGTTCAAGGTGCCATTCAACCTCTTATTTCCAGATGGGGAGATATTTCATATACCTCTGAGAGTTTTTGGGTATATTTGTTTTGTTCACATTCTTGGTCCTCATTGTAGGAAGTTGGATCCTAAGGCCAAGAAATGTGTTTTTCTCAGATATGCTCAAACCAAAAGGGGTATTGTTATGATCAAGTGCCGGGGAGCAGGTTTGTCACTATGGATGTTACATTTTTTTGAGTCTGCATTCTTTTTCTTTGGTAGTTCTCCTTAGGGGGAGTCTTTTGAGGAGGATACCTCACAATATGTTCCTCTTCCTATTCCTTCACCTGGTCCAACAGCTCCACCATTGGCTCCTCTAGTTCTACTTCCTGATCCACTATGATTTTCCTCACAGTGTTTTTAGCATCAATGCAAGAGGGTTGACTCCACACATGCTCTAGCAGGAGAACTTGCACCACTCATCGGTCCATCCAAGATTCCAAGTTCAACTGATACAGTTCCAGGTATTTCTCTTGAGCCTGTTATTTCCTCTAATCCCATTGATGATGTTTCTATACCTAACACTGATGTTGCAACTGATCTTGATCGTTTCATTGCACTTTGCAAGGGAAAGAGAATGTGTACAACCCATTGCATTTCACACTATCTTTCTTACAATGCCCTATCACCTTCCTATCAGGCTTTCCTTTCCTCTCTAGATTCTGTGTCTATACCCAAGAGTGCCAGTGAGGCACTCTTCAAACTTGAGTGGAGAACAACTATGCAAGAAGAGATGGAGGCTTTGATTAAGAATCAGACATGAGAGATAATTGATATTCCTACAAAAAAGGAGACAATTGGATGTAGATGGGTGTTCATTGTAAAGCACAGGGCCGGTTGTAGCATTGAGAGGTACAAGGTTGGTTACAAAAGGGTATACTCAAACCTATGGTATAGATTATTTGGAGACCTTTGCACCAGTGGCTAAGATGAGCTCAATTCGGATTCTCTTCTCTCTAGTAGCTACTTATGGTCACTCTTCCAGCTTGATGTTAAAAAAAATGCTTTCCTTCATGGTGATTTGCAGGAGGAGGTATATATGGACCTTCCGACCAGTTTCTATGAGGATGTTGCTGAAGAAAAAGCCTGTAGGATGAAGAAATCATTATATGGTTTGAAATAGTTACCTAGGGCATGGTTTAATAAGTTTAGGGGAGCATTGATTTGTTTTGGATACACGTAGACCCAGTCAGATCACACTCTTTGTGATAAGGAGAGAATCACTAGTGTCAGTATTGATTGTATATGTTGATGACATAGTTGTTACAAGAAATGATCAGAAGGAGATTGATGCACTCAAGAAGTTATTGCAACAAGAATTTGAGATTAAGGACCTAGGTGAATCAGTATATGCACCCAAGCATGGGATATTCATCTCTCAAAGGAAGTATGTGGGAAGATATTAGAGGATGGTGGCCCGACTACTAATATCTCCCCACATACTTCCTTTGAGAGATGAATATCCCATTCCCTATGAGTGTTGTGAGTCAGTATATGCATGTTCCTCGGGTGCAACACTAGGAAGCCATTGATAAGATACTTGCATACTTGAAGAAACATCCAGGCAGAGGAATTTTATTCTCAAATCATGGAAATTTGAAGTTGGAATCCTATATGGATGCAGAATGGATAGGGTGTCTAGATAACGGGAGATCCACATCAGGGGTATGCACCTTTGTGGGAGGAAATCAAGTTTCATGGAAAAGTAAAAAATAGTTAGTGGTGGCAAGGTCAAGTGCAGAAGCCGAATATAAATCTATGGCCCACAGTGTCTCAAAATTATTGTGGGTTAGATCCTTGCTGAGTGAGATTGGGTTAGATGCAAAGGAGTCCATGATGTTATATTGTGACAATCAAGCTGCAATCAATATTGCCCACAATCCAGTTCAGCATGGTAGGACAAACCACATTGAAGTTGACAAACACTTCATAAGAGAAAGGGTGACAGCTGGAGAAGTTTGCCTACCTTATGTTTCCACTGAGCAATTTAGTATTAAAGCTATTGGTCCTACATTAGCAAGTGCCTATTGAGGCTCAAATTAGCAAGATGAGATGACAAAGTGCCACAATTTAATATGCATATGGAGTAGATTTTTCTTTTAGTGAAGGAAATAAAATTTGATCACTAATACTCTTTTCACTTTTATATTTTGGAACAACCAGTCAATGATGATACAACACAAATGAGATGACATGAGAGAAAAAATGATGAGTAGACGAATGCAGTTTGATGGATTACAAAGGAAATGAGTTCAATAATAAAATAGGCTCACCAAATTTGTAAGGGATGAGTTGTATGTTCATATAGTTWGCAACTTTGTATATAACTCATGTACAACCTTTTATTTTGCCTATTTAATATAACACTAGTATTAGATAAGACAAAGTATCCATTATTAGACCAAAGAAAAAAGAATGAGCATTGAATTTGGCAATAAAGATCAAAGTATTTCAATAAAAGGAAATAAACATTCTCTCTTTTTTATATATGGTCATAGATATTGAATTACTTTTTAAAGAAAATCTGCTTACTTTGTCTTGCACAGGCTCTTAAACATCTTTTAGATCTTAGAACAAAATAACATTTTGCCTTCACTAACATTTAACACCTAAAGGTTCTGACAATGGATATCAATTGTAACTTGAATTCTAACACAGGACATTGACTTCTCACTAACCAGAACAATTTCAGGTGGTAAGATGAAGAAAAGAGAAACAAAGAATGGTATAGATGCATAATTTTAACCATCCACTATGCCATTGTGATGGCATCTCCTCTTCTCTTGTTGTGTGTGATTCTTGTTTTTTATTTTTCATCTTGAGTCTATTTGTTTAGATCCCCTCAAACCTGGCACAAGAATTTGGACCCCTAACCCGAAAGGTTTTTTCACTTGATCCTCTTTCAAGTTCCTTTGCTCCACTTCTGCACCTCAGAACTTCCCAGTTAAAGAATTCTGGACGAGGCCCAATCCCCCAAAGATTGTTGTTTTTTGTTGGGAAGTTTATTATGGTAAGATTAATACCTTTGAAAACCTATAAAAGAGGAGACCAAAATGGTGCTTATCCCTTAATTGGTGTGTTCTTTGTAAATCTCAGAATGAGGACTGTCACCAATTACTGATCTCTTGCTCCTTTGCTACAACTTTATGGAATTGGAGTCTTATGTTATTTGAGTGTAGGTGGAACCTGCCATCTGATACTAGCTTGCTGTTTAGTCCATCTATCTTTGAATGGCACACAAAGAGAGGGAGAATTATCTGGAAGTGCATAAGAGAAGCTTTGTTGTGGACAGTTTGGGAAGAAAGGAACACCAGGATCTTTTGTTAAAAAGAAAGGAGTTTCTTGGAAGTTAAAGAATGTATTCTGACAAGGGCAATTCAGTGGCTGAAAACTCTAAAGCTCTTTGATGCATACTCTTTTGATGACCTATGGAGAAGCTGGTTAGCAGTGGCTAATACTTCTACCAGGAAGGACAGACATGGGGTTGAATGGATGCCACCAGGGGAGGAGTTTATCAAGCTGAACTTTGATGGAAGTAACTGAGGAAATCCAGGACCTTCAGGCATAGGAGGAGTGCTGAGAAACAAAGATAGTAGCATTATATCTTTGTACTCAGGTCCTGCGGGTGTGGGAGACTCTTTAAGGGCCGAATTACTTGCTGCTGTACAAGTAATCCAGCTTGCAAATCAGCTAGGCATGGAGCATCTGATTATTGAAGGGGATTCCCAGGTGATAGTGGGTTGGCTGAAGGATCCGGACACAGTGATTTGGGGTTTCAGAGATCTTCTCAAAAAGGTTAAATGGTTAACAAGGAATATGACAATCAGAGTTCAGTGGGTAGGCAAATCAGCAAACTCAATGGCTGATTCACTTGTAGAACAAGGGGTTCTCCGGGATACTTTATTTTGGGCTTCTGTGTAATTTCTTTTGTACTTATAATTCTGTAACTTGCTTTAAAGGAAAGGTCGCATCTCGTGCCTTTCCATGAGTTGCATGTAACTCTTATTTAATAAAATCTTACTCATTTATCAAAAAGAAAATGAAAAGTCAATAGTGGAGCAACAAGATTTTACAAGGAAAAACATGACAAATTTTAGACAGATGCCAATAGATGCCTCATACCTCTTAGGACAAACATGAAATTAATACTAATGAAAAAGGAAATATTGTACTTTGCCATCAGACTTCCATACCTCCCATAGGTAAACATGAGTATTTCTAGATCCAACCAAAAAGAAAGGCTTCAAAGGATGACTGGATAAAGCCCTTGTGCTTATATTTTCAACTGTTGCTGGTGGATCAACAAAATCCTCAAAATCTTCTTGTATACCCCAACCAAAGCCAGAAGCACCAATGCCAGCATAACCTGGAATTCCAAATGCTCCACCGCCTGTCATGTCCCTCCCTGGTTTGGACAAAGAACTTAGGCCAACCACTGCTCCACCCAATCCAAGGTGCGCCCCCTTCTTTCTGCCAAGTCCAACGCCTGGAGAAACAAAAGTATGAATAGGCGTAGATTCAGAACCAGCCCACCCATTCTTTGGCCAATCAGCCTCTGACCAGATATAATCTGTCTGAACATCCAGAGGTTCTTCATCTTTCCAATTAAAAAAGGATATCCCCTGAATCAAATATAAACAACACTTAAAAGTACTGCAAAAGTAATCTCCATTTGCATCTTAAATCCTTGTTATCACATTAAGCATACAAATCACTGTTACTCCAAGGACCTTTAACAACTTAGCTTCTAAAAAAGATCTGAAAAGTTCATAGTTTGGTTCTAAGCTTGCAGCACATCTCCTATTGTAAACATCAAATCTCCTACTCATAATAAAACCTATTAATAAACTTGCAGCATATCATGAGAGCTCCATATAAATATAGCATTCCAATGACACACTACATATTACTGGATACAATATTCTCAAAGAGATGTTCAAACAAGATGAATTGAATTGTTGTTAAATAAGCTCTCCTGGTAACCATGGAATCTAAAATAGCAATGTACATGTGAAGTATTTCTGTAGACATAAATTCATAATAGATGCTAATATTCCTAATGTAACAGAAATGAAACTCCAAAATTGTTTCCTGGCCCACATGTAAAATTACACTACATGATTTTGATTTTCAGTTTTTAACTTTTCCCCCTCAAGTAATATTCTATGAACTAGAAACTTTGGTGAGTGAAGAGTTTTAAGTCTGAATTGACCACATCAAAGATGCAAGGCAGAAAGTCATCCAGTTAAGCTACATGCTCAACAAGAGTTACTATTACAAGACCCGATGGGCTACACATTTTGTTGTTACAATGTGAGCTGAACTTCCATCCGCGTTGTAACACGCTCTTTTGGGGAAACGTGTAAAGGTAACAAGAGGTGGGTTAGTACTCCTGTTACTCATTTTTTTTTTCAAACAAAAAAACTGAAAAAAAGCATTTTTTGACAGCTCCTCTCTATTTTTTGTCCTTTCTCTCTGTGTTTTGGGGATGAAGAACAATGAAGAGAGCATCTCAATGGGTAGAAAGCTAAATGGAATTTGGAGTGGGCAATGGAAGAAAACTTGGACGGTGGTAGAAAAGAAGGTTTTTGGCAAGTCCTACATCCTTTATTCTTCAGATGGAAGACATAGACTGATTACTCTCTCTCTCTCTCTCTCTCTCTCTCTAGGTTCTTGGGTGAATGGATTGAAATAGGGTGAAACTTATTTTTTGAATGGGTCTTAGACTTTTAGGGTAGAAGGTTTTGAACAGGGTAAAATTTCATAAATAGTTGCTTGAGCAAGAAACTTCTATGAGATTTCAGAGATCTTCAAAGACAATCAAAGCCTTCATGTATAATTTATTGGAGTATAGGGGTTTGTTTTAAGCAAGAAAGACAACAAACTATCAGGGATTATGGAATTGGCCTGATATTGTTTAATATAGTCTGATTAGTACAGTATAAGAAATTTGAAGCCTCTATGCAATTTTAGAGATCTTCAAAGACATTTGAAGCCTCTATGCTCAATTATTAAGGTATAGGGGCTTGTTTCGAGAAAGAGGCATAATAAATCATCAAAATTTATGAAGTTGGTGTCAAATTGTTTAATATGGTCTAATTAATACCGTATAAGAAATCTATGTGAGTTTAGAGACGTCAAAGGCATCCAAAGCCTCCATGCTCAATTATTAAGGTATATGAGCTTATTTTGAGTGAGCCATAATAACCATTGTTTGTGGGAACTAGGAATACTCTCTATTTGTCTTTTTTTGTTCGTGTTGCTGGGAGGAAGACTTTGAACAATAGAGAGGGACCAACTTCTCAATGGGTATATAAATAATTGGAGAAACAAATACAAGAGAAGCGTTTCAATAGGTTCTATGTTCTCTTTGTTCATCGGATGGAAGACATGTGTTTTCTCTTTGAGCTTTTGGATGTGGGTGGAAGGTTTTGGACAAGGTAAAATTTCATAGACTTTTTAGGGCGGGGGTTAAAAGATAAACATCTTTTTTTTTTTTAAATTTTTGTTTGAAAAAAAAGAAAAAAAAAGAAAAAATGGGAGTGTTAACCCACCTCCTGTTACTTTTACATGTCTCCCCAAAAGAGCAAAGTGTTACAAGGCGGATGGAAGTTCAGCTCGCGTTGTAACAACAAAATGTGTAGCCCATCTGGTCTCTACTCTTAAGAAATTCATATTAAATGAGAATAAACAGTTAGTGATGCCATGCTCACTAGATTAGTTATACTGTTATAGATGATTGGAAGTTACTCTTTAATACTAGTGTCATCTATTTAGGATATTATGCAAGGTTTTAAAATTGTCGTTGATCCAGATGGTTGGAATTTTGGCCTAGAAACTGGTCAGGGTACCGATTCCGTTCCAGCCCCAAGATGTTATTTTACCAAAAACTGTTAAATCGGTCAGCGAGGCTCCTGCTCAGTACATGAGGTTAAATAAAATGGCAGCCCAGTACATGAGGCTCCCACCAATGCAGGGTCTGGGGAGGGATAGATGTACACAGCCTTACCCCTTAACATTTGATAATTTTTGGTAATTTAATTTTGTGAAAATTAATTTTAAAAATTCTAATTTACTGATTTTTTTTTATATTTTCAGTAATTAATTATTCATAAAATCAGAATTTTTTGAAAATTAGTTTATTCATATCAACAAATTTTGGAATATTTATTCATACCAATTAAGAAATTTATTCATAAATTTTCAAAAAGTAATTTATTCATAAATTTTCAAAAAGTAATTTATTCATATGAATATTTGTATGAAGGATTTTTAAGATTCTCAAGTTTTTCTTTCTATTTAAAAAAAAAATTTCTGTTATGCAAACAACAATGAATAGAGATTTTTTATTAATTCAGTTTTAAACATCTGCCAAAGTGTCAACTGGCTGGTTGGTAAGGTCTCCTGCTAGTTGTAGCAGAGACTTAGGATTGAATCCCGCTTTCACTAGGGTTGGGAGGCTTTATGAGTTTGGTGGATGATCCCCTAGTTATGTAGCCAAAGAAAACCTCCCCTAATATCATTAAGATTATCAATTAATAAAATTAATCAACTTTCTGATTTTTCCCGTGCATCACATGGGGCCTCACTAGTGGTTAAATAAAATGGCAGTCCAGTACACGAGGCTCCTGCTAATGCAGGGTTTGGGGAGGCGATGTATGGAGCCTTACCCCTTTACATACAGAGAGGCTGTTTCCAAGATTTGAACCTTGGTCACCCAGGTTGCAATAGAGCATCTCAACCATTGTGCAATACTATTTAGAAAAGTTTGTGATGGTTAGAAACTAAAAACTAGTGAAAAAGCGTTTGATATAAAACTAAATCATTGCAAAATCCATTTCATATTTCATAGAACAATAAAAATAGCACAAGTAAAGAAACATGTCAAATTTTGGGTGTTGATACTATGCTAATTTATTTTTCCATTAACATCAAATCAAGCATTTAGATACAGATGTACTTTTATGCTACTGTATTTGTTTATAAAACAATCTCCTGGAATGAGAAATGAAGTGATAACTAATGCATTATGAATATATTTATGCTAGTATCAAAGGAAGTGGTTATTCGTAACCACAAAACTTGAGAAAATAATGAGCACATATATACATGATTGTAAAAGGTTGTTACAGGGTTATCATTTCCAAACACCTATCAAAAGATTATATTTTCAGGCATATTCCCTCGTGATACCCAAAGAAAATAGAAGCATTTCATGGTGTATACTAAGATAATGTGACAAATTTTTAAACCATGTGAAGAAGATGGCTCAGGAACCATTCCCCTTCCTAGAACATGGAGAAGTGACAATGAATGTTATCAGAAAGCAAAAGGCCAAAGGGGCACCTGTCAAACATCCATTTTACCAGTTGCTTCGAAGAAAGACTTGAAACTCTAAACAAGACTGACCTTGTGGTTGCTGGCAAGTGCAATTTGTCGTTGATCAATGGAGTTAATACACATTGCCTGCATAAAGGGGGAAAAGGGTAAATAATAAGCATAAAGCAATGAAAATATGGCAAGGAAACTTTAGAGTTCCATTTAACACCTTATTCTTGGACAATTACACAAAACAAGATGTGTGGAAAGCTGTGAAACACAAGAAATAATTACCTCAAGAAGTTCTCCATTTTTCTTGTATATGTCCTTTGGAGGCTGGAAATACATCACCTCCTTGATAGGGGTTGAATCCCTCCGTCCAGAGCCAAGAAAACCATAGGCATCCAGAGACCAATTCTTAGAAGATGATTCAGCTATTCGACCATCAGGACCATGGCTAATACTGCAGTCCTTATCATTATTTGAAGCATCACCATTTTCATATTCACCCATGATGCTTTTATGCATATCACTCCAGCCTTTACAGGGCTTCTGGTTAATAAATTGCATCCAGTTTATGTTTTCCTCTGCAAAACTTTCATATAATTCCTTAGGATCAACAGAATTTTCCCATATTGCTTTAAACAATGATGCCGGATTTTGATCAGTAATTATGCTCAAGCTGTCAGATTTATTTAAATTTTTAGGCATGGCTCTGGATTGAGACCTTCTATACTCTTCCAACCATGCAAGAGTAGGCGAAGGCAAACCTTTCTCTACTTTCTGCCTAAGGAATGATGCAAGCCGTTTAGAATGTGAAGAAGAGACAATTGCAACCGAGCTCATCAGCAACTTAGACATCAACACTGAGACCATCTTTATCTGTTTCAGTGCACTGTTTCCATCAGATTCAAAACTTAAAGTAGATCCCGAGCAACAAAGTGTGCCTGGCAGGACACTGGATGGATAACAATCTTCGAAGAGGATGTCAGACATTGACTGTAGCTGAGCCTTCATGAATTTGGACAGATGCCACCATAGGCAGGTATCTATAAGTTGCCATTTTTCTTCTTCTGGTATTGAATGCATTATATCTCTACTTTGCTCAAGTTGACATTGCATAGCAAATGGAAGGCCAGCCACATCATCACTTGACAAATCATGTGCCATTGACTTGGATCTTTGGTAGAGTAGTTTTTTCATACTTGCGATATCAAATTCTGAAGGAGCAGMTAATGCACTCAAAATGGGCTGTATCACCAGAATGAGACCTTTCAAATTCCCTTTAAGCCATGCCGATGCAAAATATGCATAATATTCAAGAAGATCAAACACAGTAGAGACTTTGATGGAGAGGTGTTCTGCATGCAATCCATATAAATAGGCTTTCAGAGTGGAATTCAAACTTCTTGCTGACTGTACACTCTGCATACAAGCATCCAGAACATGTAACTGGCCAGATCTGGTGCCACCAAGCACATTACTCTTGGTGAAAAATGGCTTCAGCTGCATGCAGGTACAGGCCACAATATAGCGTGCCAATGCATAGGAGAAATCTTGGGTAGCTTTCAAAAGAGAAGGATGCAAAAGGAAATCGTCAACTGCACAGTTTTCATCTGGTGGATGTTCTTGATAAGCATAGCCATGTAATATATTGTAACTGAGAAACAACCCGTTGTTGCTTGAGAAGACTACAGTCTGCATATGCAGAAACAAATAAGTACCTCAAAGAAATTCAAGTTGAAGAAATACATCAAATTGGATTAGATTAAATGAATGTATGGATTATTGCATTACCAAATTGATCAAATCAGCAGAATTGAGAGAATACTTCTGCTGAAAAGTTGCAAGTCCTGTATTTAGCTTATTTTGCAATTCTTTAAGTAACAGTTTGTATTGCTGAGTTTCATATTCCTTGATGTAGCCAATGGCTCCACTAGATTCCGAATTAATGCATGACCAGCTTGGGTGTTCCATTATCAATTTTGAAATGTACTGCATTGCTAAATCCAATTTAGCATGGTACTCTAAATGAAAAGCCACATCACCTGACACCCAGTTAGAGTCATCACTTTGGAATAACTTGAATATTACACGTAGAATCCCATCATTCTCAATGTGTAACAAGCTTCCTTGATCTTTATTCTCAATAATGCTCAGAGAAGATGAAAGGCACTCCAAGGCTTCAAGCTTGAAACAGTATGAAAATGATTAATACAAGCATACAACAAAAGTATATACATTACACACTAAGGGTAACTATGCTTTAAACTTGATTTTCAGACAGGAATGCAGGAAATTATAATTCATGCATAAATCATTTGATTGTAAGACAGCACAAACATGTGAGAAATAGTAAATTTTAAGGCTTCCATCTTCTTATCCACATTTAAACTGTCTTTTCTGTTGTATTCTAATTATTTGCTTTCTTCTTTTGAGGGCCGGAAGAGACAAGTAACAAGATATAGTATACAAGTATATAAAAGACAGAAATACACAACCAATAATGGGGATCAAGGAGAAACCCTATAAACAATGCAGAAGAAAGGTTCCACTGCCCCAACCGGTTTTTTTTTTTTTTTTTTTTTTATAATTGAAAGAATTGTATTAATCACAAAGGATAAGAAAGTACAAGCTCCCCAAGGAGAGGCACGAGATGCGACCTCTCCATACTAGTTAAGAATGGCTTTCCAAATCACTAAAACAAGTTACAAGGTAGCACAAAAAAGATCTTCCCTGGAAACCCTAAGTTTGGTCAAAGAATCAGCCATAGTATTCGCCAACCTGCTCACCCATTTAACATCCACTCTCATATTACTAGTTAGCCACTTCACTTTTTTGAGGTCTCTGTATCCTCAAATGACAGCATCCGGGTTTGAGAGCCAGCCTATTACCACCTGAGAATCTCCTTCAATTAGCAAATGTTCCACCCCAAGCTGGTTCGCAATCTGGATTCCTTGTACAGCCGCTAGTACTTTTTCCCTTGTAGAATTTCCCACTCCCACCGGTCATGAGAATAAGGAAATAATGTTGCTTTCCTTATTCCTCAGCACACCCCCTATGCCTGAAGCCCTGGGGTTACCTTGGCTGCTCCCATCAAAGTTTAACTTGATGACACCTTCTGGAGGAGGTTTCCATTCTATCACACTTCTATTATTCTTAGTAGAGGTATTAGTCACTACTGACCAATTCCTCCAAAGGTCATCAAAAGAAAAATCAGCAAACATATCCAACGTCTTCAACCAATGGATTGTTGTTGCCAAAACACAATCCTTCACTTCAGCCAAGCTTCTTTCCTTCTCTAGGAATATTCTAGCATTCCTTTTTTTTTTTTTTTTTGATCAATGTATTCTAGCATTCCTTTCCTCCCAAATAGTCCATAAGGTAGCTGCCCAAAGACATTTCCACCTGATTTTACCTCTTCTTGAATGCCACCCGAAAATAGATGGATTAAAGCTCCAAGTCCATGAGGCTGCAGGAAGGGAACAGGATATCAGTAAATGGAAACAGTCTTCACTCTGGGCCTTACACAGGGAACACCAGTTCGGGGAAAGACAAAGAAAAGGTCTCTTTTTTTGCAAGTTTTCCAAAGTATTGATTTTCCCATAATAAAATTCTCAGCAGAACACAACAATTTTGGGGGGAATAGGTCTTACCCAAACTTCTTTCATAGGAAAGCTTGGGGGTTGGGGTTGAAACTAAGGGATTTTAGAAATGAAGCACATGTGAAGGTACATCTAGGTAGGGGAGTCCAGACTCTTTGATCAGGTTTTGTGGGGTCCAAACAAATTGACTCAAGTAAATGAAGCAACTCAGTAACACAAGTAAACTCATCATCCCTTAAACCCCCCATTCGAAAGCCAAAGTCTCAGTTTAAAGACAAGGGAAGCAACGGATCCGGAAGACACTTTGAAATTGGCTCATTTTTGTAAAGGGAACCGATCCTTGAGGGGTTGATTACCCACCCAAATATCCTCCCCGAACTGAATAGAATCATTAGAGCAACCATCATACCTGACAAACCTGAGGAATCACTAGAGCAACCGCCCAACAAGATATCCTGACATCCCAACCATTTCCTGAGTAGCCATGAATACTTGATACCACCTCATGCCAGAGTCTCTCTCTCTCTCTCTCTCTCTCTCTCTCTCTCCCGAGGCCATCTCCATAACCACTTCCCTAGGAGGGCTTCATTCTTTTGCACTAAGTTTCCTATCCCCAAGCCCCCCTTCTTCCTTAGATTTAGTCACTATCAACCATCTCTCTCTCTCTCTCTTTCTGCTTTGTCTTCGAATGTTTCAAAAACTTCTGCAATTTCAGTGCTGGTGGCATAGCACCATTGGATGGTGCTTTGGCTACTAGTTGGGCTGATATGGTTGATGCCTTTCAGAATGCATCTCCTTGGTCACGTTGTGGGATTTCAGTCCTCCATCTAATCAATGGATGCTATTTGTGGCCACAAAAATATCTACTCCTCACAACATTGTTGGTGTCACCAGGTCTCAGCCTAGGCAACAAATCACAAGGCTATTACGTTAGAAAGGTGAGGGAACTGTCAGATATTCGATCAGACCTGATTTCCTTCCTGAAATAAAGGGAAAATAGAGAGGGAAAACAGAGAGAAAGAAGGAGAGGAAGAGAAGAGAAAGAGAGAAGATGAAGAGATGGTTCGACTGTTCTCAAAAGAGAGAAAAATCACCTTCCCCAGATGACCAGAATAGTATATATGTATAGATTTCTAATCATGGCATCGAGTTTGCTCAGCTAGAGGAAAGGGGTTGTGCTTGGCTGGAGAGAGATTTTGAAGAGGATGATGTTGAAATGTTTGCCCACAAGGGCATTTTAGTCATTTGATGTAATCTGGTATTCCCCTGTTAAGAATCACTTAACAGGGGAATTTTTGTAATTTTCGCATGTTTAATGAACAATGCTACAATGCAGGTTGAGAAGAAGGGATATACAGTTCGTATTCCTTCCTTGAAACCCACTTTCTTCCTCCTACTTTCTCCTTGCTTTCTTTTGTGCAATACAGCTTTCCTAACCTTTTTCTTCCTATTTCCCTTTATTTTTCTACTTTACTTACAAACAATAACATGGTATCAGAGCTGTGAACTTGTGGATTACCGTTCACGCCACTGTTTTGCGCCCTAGGAATTGAGAACTCCTTTTCGAGACAAGTTGCTAAAGGGACTGAAAAGGACTGGTCGTCCCTTAGGGAAAGAGGCTTTAGTGCCTTGAGTTGGTCAGTTTAAGGTGTGATGGTGTATTAAGTTCCTCTTTGCCGCAGCCCTAGACGTGAGTACAGATATGTGTGTTGAGTTCGGCAGGTTTGTGACTGTGTGGTGATTAGTTTGGTGTGGGAACTCACTTCCTATGGTGGTGATTAGTGTTTGAGCTTAAAGTTGTTGTAGTTTGCTTTCCATTTTGTGGTTGGTGATTAGTGTTATTAATCGTTGCTGTTTGGTGTTTTACTCTTCCTATGGCTGCCTTTAGTAGTAGCTCCCAGCTCTCTGTAGTACTGCAATCGGACTTTATGAATACCCAGCTAACCACTGTTAAGCTTAATGACACTAATTGCTAGAGGGAAGTTGAAATATGTCAAGGAAGATCCACCCAAGAGTGGGTCAAAGGGGTATAGTGAATGGGTGTAGGAAAATGCTCAGATTATGACTGCCTTATGGAATAGTATGGAAAACAACATTAGTATTAATCTAATGTTTATGGACATTGCCAAGGAGATTTGGGAGCATACCTGACAGTTATACTCGGGACAGGATAATGTGACAAGGATTTATCAACTGTATTAGGATTATTTCTCTCCAACAGGGTGATAAGAGTGTAGAGGAGTATTATGCAACTCTGAAAAGTTTACGGAATGAGCTGAATGTTTATGAACCTCTCCCCCTGATCTGAAGGTACAACAGACTCAAAGGGAGCATTTAGATGTCGGAAGATTCTTGTTGGGACTGAGATCGGAGTTTGAACCTGTGAGAGCTCAGATTTTGGGAAGTAGTGATCTTTCCTTTTGAGGTGTTTTCTCGTATCTATAGGACATGCCAACCTCACAATGATCATTCTACTTCTTCAAAGAAGTCTGCCTTAGTGGTAGCTAGAGATAGTGGTGGAAGGGGTGTTAGGGGGAGAGGTACATTTAGAGGTGCAAGTTGTGGTGTTAAAGGTGGTCGGTGGAAGCAAAGAAGGAAGAGGTGGTGAGAATAAACTATGGAGGTCGTGGTACTGTGAGAGAGTGCACACATTGTGGCTTTGAGGAACACATAGTTGCTTTCTGTTATGACTTGCATGGCCCTCCATCTTCCTGGGCTAATCATGCCATAATTGAGGATGGCACTAGTATTAATGATGCTATTGATAAGCTACCTGCCACAGGGGTTAGTAAGAACAATGAACTAGTTTCCATCACTTGTTAGGAATATGAGAGACTTCAACAAAACTCTTCTTTGCTTTCCAAGTCCATTGCTACCCTTGTTAAGTCAGGTACAACTTGTTTAGTTTCCAGTTCTAACCATTCACCATGGGCAATTGACTTTGGAGCTTCAAATCATATGACTGGATCTTCAGATCTTTTTGAGTCCTTGTCTCCACCCTCCACTGCACAGACTGTTACATTAGCTGATGGCACTTCCTCTCCTATTAATGGTACTGGTAACGTTTCCATTGGCTCTGATCTTAGTCTTAACTCTGTCTTTTAGATTTCTAAGTTTCCTTTTAGTCTCTTGTCTGTAAGTAAACTTACTAAGTCATTAAATTGTTCAATCACCTTCTTTCCATCATATTGTGCTTTCCAGGATCTTACGACGGGAAGATGATTGGCAGAGGTCATGAAGCTGGAGGATTGTACTACCTGGATGTTGATGGTCCACCGAAAGCACTTCACTCATCTCTTACTCCTCTCCAGTGGCACTTCATCCTAATCTGTCATCAGTGTCTCAGTTGGATTGTGAAACATGTCAACTTAGAAAGCATCATAGTCACTTTTGTTCCTAGGGAAGATAATAGAGTCCAAAGTCATTGATCTTGTCCACTTAGATGTTTGGGGTCCTAGTTGTGTGTCCTCTTACAATGGATTTTGATATCTTGTAACTTTCATTGATGATCATTCAAGAAATGACATGGATATATTTAATGAAAGAACGTTCAAAATTGTTTTCAATTTTCCTTTCTTTCCATGC